AATGCAGCCACCAAATCTAAGACTTAGTAAGCTGCAATGTATTACATTTTTGCTTTTGGGGTTAGATATGCTTAAAAGCCATTCACTGTGGCTCTGCTGTCTGAACAGATGCTACATTTTAGAAGTCAGTCTCTGGAAAGCATTGCGAACACACACCTTCATTACATCACCTAAGCTCTCAGAAATTCATCCCTCACAATTAAGTAAGAGACCCAGCATGTAATTAAAACTCCAGCACCATAACCGTGCATAAGGGAAGAAATAAAGGAAAAAACACAAATCATGCACTAAAGTGATATTAAAAAATAAAGCTGTGCCCTACTACTAGCAGTTAATTTTTTCATGAGAAGCAGCAAAAGACGACAATTATACTGTATAAAGTGAAGTGATCTCCTTTTCAGGAAAGGAGACCTATTAGGCCTGGATATGCAATATACTGCTGTCCCTTCAGCAAAAGGGGTTAATAACACAGAACTGTGCATGTCACCCCAGGCAGTGAGCAGATGGGAACATTACACCAATACCCAGTCTCATTTCATTACATTTACTCCGTTTGTTTGTTAATCGATTCTAATTTGACCGCCGGGATCGTTTAAAAAAAAAACAAAAACGCAAGGAGTCTACTTCCCAAGCTGTTGCCTGCTCCTTTCAGGGACGAAACGCAGCCACTGCCTCAGGGCAAATACAATTTCATCTAAACAAATTGAATTTGCTTTACGATAATAGTTCTCTGGCTGTGATGGGAAGTTATGGCTGTGAGCCCTGAATAAGGGAGGAGAGCGAAACACAGCATCACAGGCTAGGACACTGCATAAGATAGACATCTTTAAAAACTTTAATAGACTACCAAGAGTAAGATAAACCATGCTGTGTTAAGGATTCATCGCGCAACTATTCAGTGCTTCTAGTTACATTTTAGCAGCATTGCACTGAATTGAGCGTATTGTAAAGCACGTTCACGGGATAGGTAGGGAAGTGGATGGAATTAAGTGAGCGCTCATTAGTTGTCATTTAACAGCGCTCATTAGTTGTCATAAGAGGAACTATGGGCAAAATGAAATATTATATAAAATATATAAAATGCAGCCGGTCACCATCATTAACACAGTTTTTGGAGTCTCAGGAAAGGACGGGTTTGTTAAACATTAAGCCATATTTATAAAGATAAAAAAAAGCTGTTAGCACCACACCAATGCAATATGGTTGGTTGCAACTGACCCTTGATGGTAATCATGGCTAAACACTGGTCCAGGCCAAACTGGAGGAAGGGTTACATTTGTCCAATGCAGTTTTACAAAGTACCTTATAAGAAGGGAACCTCCTGGCTTCACCCCAAGCAACATATGCCTTCCAAGTAGTACTGTAGACCTTATGGGAACTTAATTTCCTAGCCTTATGGAGTGTGGAGATAGCAGCATCAGAAAGGCATCTCTCAGCACTTGGGCTGGCTTTAACAGCCATGCTGTTAAAGCAAAGGGCTTGAAACACCTCCAGAAACAACTCCATCATCTCTATAAAGAGATGGGGTTGATGATGAGGTGATGTATGAAGGTGGGTGTCACCTGCCATGCTATGTAGCATAGAAAAATGTGAGTAAACCATTGGAATGGCTGCACAGAATAGCAAATCAGAGGTATGCAATTTGTAGTCTTGTGCTAATGGCTTTGATAGGAAGCTGCGGCTGACAGCCCTTACACAATATGTATTTCAATTATTCATTTTCACTTTATAGAAACAAGCTTCATCAAATTTGTTTAAAAACGCACTAATATCATATTGCTGGTGTTTAAACAAGTTTTCAAAAACTTGTTTTCTAAAGTTAAAAAAAAAAAAAAAAAGGAACTCTCAAGTATTCCTACTAAAATATTACATATTTATGTGGATTGATTTTGGCATTTAAAATAATATCCCTGAAATAGCTAAAAGCATGTAGTGTGTCATTCCTGCAAACATATGTTTTTAACTTCAATTTGAATGGTCTTCCGGGGAACCTAATGTGGCAATGTAACCATTTAACTGGACTAGAAAAAATACAGGCAAAAATGTAAACATGATAAGCTGGTTGGAAATAACATCATCACTTATGCTGGTGAACACATCT